TTCACAGATTGGCATGCTTGTGATCTTTGGTTTGTTATCACCTGGCCACTTGACGCGTGCTCATGGGTCTGTTTTTTAGTGGTAAGAGTTTAAACCCTGTGTCATTCTGGCATACTGTACAAAGCAGACTTCAATCCAGCTCATTCACTCCAGCTTAAAATAAGAAAAGACCCGGACTGGTAGCATCATCAATATGTGTAAATCCAGATATATTGCTGATAATGTGAGTTGAATGTCTGTGTCGTTTGGAATTTGATCATTAGAAATTTTTGTTTCATGATGTATTCCAAAATAATCCAGCTATATTATATTTACGACCAGGAAGTAATCAAGCCTGTACCAGTCGCAACTTTATGTAGGGTGGCATGAAATCAGCCAAGTCACCATCGTATCCATTTAATCGCTTCTAACAAGCATATGACAATTTCTAATCCACAGGCAGATGGGTGGTGAAAGCGTCTTCTCATCATGCAGAAGACCCAATTTTGATTTATCACATGGGTACAATGTGTGAAGCTGATTTCTGGAGTCCCCAACTGTGATATTGCTGGAAAAATTGCTAACAGCATACTCAGTCACTCGGAATACACAAGGGGCCGTTAGAAGTATGGAAAGTTAACCGTTTATGTGTTTTGCTGTATATTTTGTATACATCACCGTACATGCACATATGAAAAATAAGCGACACAAGGTTCCAATTTGTATAAGGTGGCTGTGCAGAGTTGTGTCCCTAATCCATGCCAGGATCAATTGTGCGTGGGTTTGAAACAAGATTCGGCCTGATTGTTACATGGTCTGTCAGAACTGTATCCATTTAAACTTCGTGTTACGGATGCTACAGTGTTAAGCTAAAGTGAGTATTGTCCTTGCAATAATGAGTGAGTATTGTTTTACATCTCTTTGAACAATATTCCAGCAATACCAGGATGTGATTCGCACATTGTACATATGTGAGGACTCGGACCCAGGCTTTCGGTGTGACAAACATACATTTTAAACTCTAGGCTACCCCATCGCCTAAACGTCCAACAGCTGAATCTACCCACAATCGTGCTGTGTACCGCTCTATATACAACCATCTTAGGAGACAGATCTGGAAATAATGGACAAAACGTCTTTGAAATGTACATTTCACCAATTCTCTAAAAATATTTAGTCTCACGTTCAGTTGGCTCGACTACCAACAATAATCATCGCAATTCCGCAAGCACCTATTTATTTTTTACAGAACCAAATAATCCTTGGAGTAGGGTAAAGTAGGACATTTATATTCTCTGGCGTTGGCGTTTAATGTTTCCTTCCCCCGACGATAAGGCTGTGGAAACACATCCTGTTGCAAAATAGACATAGTGTAATTTATTCAAAGAAACAATTCATCCCGCGGCCTTCCAGTTTTAGATGAAGATTAATTATTATAATGGCCTTATATATATATATATACACCCAGCCAGTGTCTGACGACTGTGGGATTTCAGCTCATTCAGAGACCGACTATTTCTTTGGCTGGGATCTTGTACGAAAACTAGATATTTTTCAGCCACAGCCAAACAGGTTTTAATAAATACTATGAGACTTAATACTATTTTATATGACACCTAAGCAACAATGTAGTTATTGTCGCAGACACTTATATTTTTCCCTAATAGTATGGAGCATACTTGCATTTTCAAGGATTTTCGAAAACAATTTATTGTTTTTGAGACGACCCCACCAACGACAAATGGTCCACTCCTTCCTTATTACATTACAAACACAGAGAATAAGTGTTTTTATCACTTGAATATGTTCTTATATGCATGTTTAATAGTTGTATAATGACACCATAAAAACATCTCAAATATCTAAACTCAAGTGTGTCTAAACTTTCCTCCCACATTAAGCTGACACGTCGTTATATTACTGCAATAATTTTAAAAGCGGCGTTAAACCCAACTCACTCACTCACTAAACTTAACTTCCTTATCATGTTGGTAGTATCACTTCACTCGGAACCCGCGTACCTTCACTACTAGTGTACAGGCCGCCATAACGAAACTTGACTACTGCACACCTCTACGTACACTACATCACTCATTTAACCCCTGATAAACTGGCAGGCAAAAGAAAGTATGCACTTGAAAATTGGATTTTACAAAATAATTTAATTGCTGAAACACTGCACACTTAAGGTCCAAAACACAAATGTGACATCCGTATTAATTATATTCCTATGGAATAACCATGTTTAAAACATTTTAGCCACCATAAAATATGGGTGTATGCTTTCTGTTGCCCGTAGTTTAGCAACAATCGTGACATTTGCTGTGAGGAGTTTTTTAAATCAATACTTTTAAAAAAAAAATAGATTATACTCAAAGCGAATAACTGAGAATTCGTTGTGATCATTTGTCTGCTTCAGTTAGGAACACTGGGTGGATGGTTTATGCTTCACATGGTTTATGTTGATACATGACTTATTCATTGTAACTTGTCAGACCAAGACAAACTCTCAAGGCAGGTTTCCATACAGGAGAGGATATTATAACACATGTAACGACTGTGTAGATTATTTATGAAGCCTTTCCTGCTGAGACATTCACACGGCGCCATAAACAATGTTGTGTGTTGAAAAAGACAATCTTTGTTGAAAGGAAATTCATTTGAAACGCCAAGCAAAAACTGTTGCAGGAATAAGCTGCTCTGTGTTTGGTATGTTTGTTGTTTAAGACAGTCCGGCTATGTGAGAACAGTCTGTAACTAATCGATTCTGGACCAGACAATCCATTGATTGACATCACGGGCATCGATTTTCGAATTTGGGATACAATGACATGCTTCAATAAGGTCAACGAGCCTGATCCAATTACTCCTACTTACAAGTTGTACGTACAAGTTGGGTTGTTGAAAACCAACTCTAACCTGGGTCTTCAAGCTGTATTAAAGCCTTGAACATTTTTATTAAATCATGTATTTGGTGTGATCATAAATATTGAACTTTCAGCCTCACAAGAGGTTTATGACAACGCTTTATACTTCTTTGGTTACCATTTTCATTCTGTCAGTAAATTGTTAAATGTGTATGTACTCGTAAACCAAACAAGACAACCAAGAGTTTGACATCATGAGCATCGATCTACGCAAATCTGATACGATGGCGTGTATCAACAAAGTCAGCCAGCATGACGATCTGATCCCTAAGCCAGCCAGCATGAGTTTCTGATCCCCAAGTCAGCCAGCATGACCATCTGATCCCATAGTCAGCTAGCATGACCATCTGATCCCCAAGTCAGCCAGCATGACCATCTGATCCCCAAGTCAGCCAGCATGACCATCTGATCCCCAAGTCAGCCAGCTTGACCATCTGATCCCCAAGTCAGCCAGCATGACCATCTGATCCCCAAGTCAGCCAGCAAGCCCATCTGATCCCCAAGTCAGCCAGCATGACCATCTGATCCCCAAGTCAGCCAGCATGACCATCTGATCCCCAAGTCAGCTAGCTTGACCATATGATCCCCAAGTCAGCCAGCATGCCCATCTGATCCCCAAGTCAGCCAGCTTGACCATCTGATCCCCAAGTCAGCCAGCATGACCATCTGATCCCCAAATAAGCCAGCAAGCCCATCTGATCCCCAAGTCAGCCAGCATGACCATCTGATCCCCAAGTCAGCCAGCATGACCATCTGATCCCCAAGTCAGCCAGCATGACCATCTGATCCCCAAGTCAGCCGGCATGACCATCTGATCCCCAAGTCAGCCAGCATGACCATCTGATCCCGTTAGTTGCCTCTCACGCCAAGCATGAGTTTCTGATTTCTACACGGATCTTCACGGGTTACTTCTGTAAATGCCTCAGTTGACGTCTATCATGTTTGGTATCCCAGGGTCTTATGCTACTCCGAAATCTAAAATAAACACACGGCATCTAAACAAATACACATGATACCCATGACGCCATGTATACAACACATCTTACATTAAAGCAAAGGATAAACACACAATTCGAAAAAAAGAACGAAATACTCGTTTCGCTCGCCAATGATATGTTGTATTGAGTTAAACAATAAACAACTGGGACCTGTTTTACGGCGTTAACGACACTAAAACGTATTGATTAGTATCCTGCTAGGTTACTGGTATCTTCAGCCGTAGGGTAGTTTTGTTTGTTTGTTTGTTTGTTGTTTAACACTCAGCAATATTCCAGCTATATGACTGCGGTCTGTAAATAATCGGGCCTGGACCAGACAATCCAGTGATTGACATCATGAGCATCGGTCCACGCTATTGGTATACGATGACATGCATCAATCAAATCAGCGAGTCTGACCACCCGATCCCGTTAGTCGCCTTTTATGGCAAGCTTGGGTTGCTGAAGACCTATTCTACTCCGGAATCTTCACGGGTCGAAACCCGTTGAGATAAGCACTGTATGGAGATGAACCCTTAAACTGAATGAACCATCACTGTATTTTGAAATAACACTGTATTTATATAAGTATAAACATAAACCATTTCCATAATCAATAAAAATCTCCACTGAAAGCTGAGTCGATTGTATGTTCCGCATGTGTTTATGAATCACTATCAAATAAAAAAGATGAGCGTGTACTGCTCCGTCGGTGGCAACCGTCACAAATACACGCAAATGCAAGTCAACTGGTCATCTGAAAAATATGATACAAAACGAAATAAGGATTTGCATCGTCACAATTTTTTGAAATGTTATCCACGTGTCAATCCTAAAACATTTTGAAGCTTTACTAAGGCGTTGGATGTTGTAACCCTGATAACATATTTATTCGGATAAGCAATTATCGAGTAAGCTTGAACGAAACCTAACACACACTTAATTCGTTTTGACATTTCACCCCAGAAAGCATAGTAAATACATCGAGTAATTAGATCATCACTTTCAGTCTTCCCAAGTTAAGCAGTCAATCACTGTATATAAACTGGAAGCCTCTCCTGAACCAACCAGTTAACGCACCACACTAAATATTCATCATATCGAACAGCGTGAGGCGACTGGCTGCCAGGTTGTCAGCACACTGCTGTATGCGGCTCTACATTGCTGACATGGATACGCTACTGCTAGTAATTTTGGTGTTTTGGATAGTTCATTTAACAGGTAAGAAGTGTCGCAAATGCCAAGGGAGATGTGTTGTACTGATTCATGTATTTTGCGTTGATTTAACGGCAACGGCGTTGAACTTCTTCACCAAAATAAGTCGTAATGTTCAGGGGATTAACATTCGAAGGGTATTTTTGCATTCTCGGGAAAGTCGGGTGTTTTTTCAGATATTAGGAATTGTTTGTTGGAACCTGTTTCGTTTCAGAATCGAGGCTTGTTAATATCTATCAGTGACGTTTTATATTTATATTGTATTAAGGAAGCGAGTTGGTTGTTTTGGACTGTGCTGTGTGACGTGTGTACTTCCACCAATAACTTACGTATGCATCCTGTTAAGGAATATTGGTTCGGCAGTTTCCCTTCATCATTCAGTTATTGAGGTTCATGAAGACAATAAGGTTTATGCTTATTTGCTCGCTAGAATCTTATTTTGATACTTTCAGTGTGAACACGAACAGTTAAATTCTAAACACATATAGATACCACTGGAAGCGAACGTGTGTAAACGATGTTTATCCTGGTGAAGTAAGTCTCGCGTTTCATCATAGCCTCAATAGCCACATAAGAATTGTGTAGGCCGAGGCATTAAAACGGCCCTATCACCCCACTGTGCAAGACAATATTTCTCAACCGTTATTCTTTTCTTGTAAAAAGCAAAATCTCTGCAGACGTACGCTGAAGACGTAATTCAAATTTAGATATCTATTTAGTTTAAAAAATCTGTAAATGCTTGGTTGGTTGGTTGGTTGTTTAACGCCGCACTCAGAAATATTCCGGCTATATGACGGCGGTCTGTAAATAATCGAGTCTGGACCAGACAATATTAAACAATATTATCAAGAGCATCAATCCACGCAGTTGGGATACGATGACATGCCTCAACCAAGTGAGCGAGCCCGACCACCCGATCCCGTTAGTCGCCTCTTACGACAAGCATAGTCGCCTTTTACGGCAAGCGTGGGTTGCTGAAGACCTTTTCATGCGTACATGTCATAGCAGGTATGGCAGCATAATGCTCGTGCTGAACTGTCACGATCTGTGTCCTTGGTCTATCAGCATTTTAGCTGAGATTTCCTGGAATTTGTCCAAGAAGTTTAGCTTAAGTGTCAGGTACTTCAATGATTTAATCTCGTTCAATAATGGCGAAATAGCCAATTCCCTTCCACTGATTTACCCACCAAAACTAGGAACAAGCGAGAAAGGAGAGATGATTGCAACTTATCCAAAAGTCAACTTTCCCTTTATGTCGAGCAATATTCCTGAGCTCCGCCCTTTGGGTATAACTTTCACAACTTTAGTCCAAGCGAGCTTTTTCTACGAATATTTCAAAAACCTTGATGCAACTCTAATCCTGTTTTTTTATTGTTTTGTCTGTGCATGTGTTTGTGATGGGAACCATCAGTGGGGATGATTGCAACTTATCCAAAAGTTAACTTTCCCTTTATGTCGAGCAATATTCCTGAGCTCCGCCCTTTGGGTATAACTTTAGTACAAGCGAGCTTTTTCTACGAATATTTCAAAAACCTTGATGCAACTCTTGCTGCAAAGTTGTAAATATTTCAAAAAACGTTTTAAACATGTTGAGGACATTTCCAAATTTGACGTATGGGTGAGCAAAATAATATCTGAGGCCATTAACTGTTTTTAACTTGCGCAATTGAATATAATCCTGTTTTTTTATTGTTTTGCCTATGCATGTGTTTGTGATGGGTACCACCAGTGGGGCTTAATACGCCCACCTTTTCTCGAACACCTGGTATCATCACTTAATGATAATGATCCATAAACATATGCTTATGATAGCAGGAATCATAAGGGACTCTGACTTTGAGGTATATTTCCTCTGATTATGAAAATGGTTTTGTCGCTTTATTCACATGTATATATTTTCAACCTGAACAGAAGTTCGACTTCCCAAAATTGAAACAATATCATGCCTTGTCAACACAACTGTGGTCTCAGACCTGTTTATAAAAGGTTATAAAAACAGTCACTATATATATAGACGTCTTACATGTCCAGTAGATATTCATATTATATTTCGTAAATTCTCAGACTTTACACATGTCGTTTAGCGTGTGACCTTATATAAACAGCACACACACGTTGCTCAAATGTCGTGTTAACGGACTCATCTTCTTTCTATTTCAGATTCCCAGTCTCAAAAAGTAATATTTTCAACATCGTCAACACATACCTACCACTCGCTGTTTGATCATGGCGTTAAACAAAGAAGCCACACCTCCCTCAAGTTCAAGGTTAAAGCCTGCGGTGATGCGCATGTAGCTCTGCAGACGTTGTACCAGAATTCAGACACACAGATGTACGAAATCGTCCTAGGTGGCTGGAGCAACAGCAAATCCGTGTTCAGACGGTGTGCCCAGTGTGATTCACTTGTGGAGTACAGTGGAGCTGTGGTATCCTGTTCTCAGTACAAACAATTCTGGACGAGCTGGGGCGATGGTACAGTTAAGGCAGGACGCGGTGGCACAGTGGGACAAGACGAGATCCTGTCGTACACAGATCCGAATCCACATGCTATTAACTACTTTGCTGCTGCTACCGGATTTGGATCATCTGGGGAATGGATATTTGGTAAGATGAGTGAACCTGAGGCAGTCATCGGAAAGCATTGGAACTGTATTGAGCTCCCCATAGTGTGTGAAAGGCAGAATGCAGATGTTAGTTCGTAGGGACTCTTTTGTGAAAATAGCGTTAAAAGAATTCATGGTTTTACAGTATATTAGAAATGACTATTGTTGATATTTTCCTTACAAACATATTCCACTTTGAACGGTAATATAGGTGACAAATAAATGGCATTATGTTCAGTGACAATAACGTTTACTCATTTTGTTATAGATCTCTGTGAGTCCAGTCTGCAGTTTAAGTTTCTCCAGAACAACGCAAAGTATGACGGTGGCACAATTAGAGATTCCAAGACAGTTCTGTCAAGAGCAGATTGTTCAGTAAACTGTTTCTCCTCCATCTGGTGTCAAGGATTTAGTCATGACTCGTCCACAAACACCTGCAACATGTTTGATGATATTCCACCAACGACAGCTCTTACTTCTGCTACAGGATGGGAGACTTGGATTGTTTCACTGTGATTATTTCTTTCAAATGCTGTTTCCAGATTCGTACTGTGTGGCCACAAACCCCTACACCCCACCTAGTGCATAATACAGTAAACGTTGTTCAGAAGTGAACAAAAGACAGCAAACATCTGGCGTCATTACAAATGGAATCGGTTTCGGCAGAAAATCGTGATATGTTATTCTCTGGCGTTGACGATTGACATCAGTTGTCTATGACAATACGTCAATGTCATATAATAGAGTTACACTTTTTAGCCAATCCTGAAAGAAGTGCATTTTCATGAATACGTCGTGATTGATTCTGTACAATGGCAGAGCTGAAACACTCTGGGTTACAGGAAGTATATACAGCCATAGCGAATGATGTGATATGCCAAACTTGGCACTGATTGCCAAGTGGTCCAACTAATCCATGTCAGCACATCACATTGCAGGAATTGAGATTGATTTGCTGTGATTCTGTTATCAGGGGTGTTTCATATGCTCGCTCTGAATGTGCCTGTTTCCTCTTCCATCGTACATAAACACGCGTGGATGAAACAACGTGATATGAAATTTAGTGTTATGAAACTATGATATACCTGTGAAGAAAAAACCTTGTGCTATTAAAGAACTACTTCCTCGTGCGTTTCATGGACACTACCACCAACAACAATGTGGAGTGGAGGGCATTTCCAAATTAGAAGCATCAGTGAACAAAGCGATGTCCAATATGAACTACTCTCAGGCCCTCCAACGCACTGCAAATTGTGGTTCATAGCCTATGGTCGCGGGTTCGAATCCCAAATTCACCCTGCTTAAGTTTCTAGGTTTGACAGCACAGTGACCGCATTCGTGGTTTTCACGTCAAAGACAGCTTGAACGTTTCCACACACTTTTGTTCAAAAATTGTTTTATTTGGGTTTCAACATTCAACGTCTAAGGAAAGCTTTAAAATGTTAATGCGGACATGTTAAGGAAATTTTCAAATTTGTCTCACCAGTGAACAAAATAATTTGAGAGGCAATTCGTTATTTTGACTTGTACTACCAGTTCCAGGTGAACAATTGGCTTGCCTTTGCATGTGTTTCTTACGGTCGCGCTTTGTGGCCAACTTTTTGTCGTATGACCTTGTTCCTTGACCTCATGACACGTGACATGAAACAACAATGTATTGTTTCCATACTTGGTTATCAGCTTATGATAGAGACAGATATCAATTTTGAGTTTTAGCAAAAAAAATTTGATAGATTCTGTGAACAGGGAGAAACACATATACAAAATTGTCTACGACCTGACGATGAATTTCGATCATGAATACCATGTTTTAACCTTCAGGTGAAATTCAAATTTCTTTTGATTTAACACTAGAATAGCAATGGAATCACGATGACGCTAACAAATGTTATGAGAAGAACATTTTGCTCAAAACTTCTTAGTTTAATTAGACCAAACTTGTACCTTTCGCACGTTGAATAAATAATACCAATACCAAAAATATGGTGTAAGTGTGATTCAGAGACAGAATGGAAGTTGAAAACACATCACATGTACTATTTAATCCCTGGGAATGTAAGAATCGATATGATTCTACAGTGATGGCAATATAGGAATTGACATGTGACATACCCGAAGATAAAATCAATGACACCTGATGATTAAAGTGAAACGGTTGATCAGGAACCACTTAGTATGACACTGCATTTCTTTTTACTGCTAGAATTGGTTCTGGGCAGCCTCATGCTTACAGTAAGAAGCGACTAAACTGGTTCGGGTTGTCTGTGATTCAGGACTTATCTGTGAGTGAGTGAGAATGTAACATCACATCAGCAATATCGCAAGGATATAATGACCCACGTTGTGGGAAGTTGAACATCAGATTGGAATTTTACTGACTGTGACAATATTCTAGCTATATGAGGTCGGTCTAAATAGTCGTCTCTGGATGAGACAATCAAGTGATTGATGGCGTGAGCAACGACCCACGCCGTCAAGGTACGACGTCATGCCATCATCCACGTCACTGAGCCTGACTACCTGATTTATTTGGTGACAGACAACATTTCTGGACGTAATGATATGTTCTAAATTGATTTAAGGGGTTTGCCAGGCTGTATATTTAACGGGTAACCAACAAGACACAATAAATTCAAAATGGCCACCACTGAAACATGAAAGAAATATTCTTGCCCTATTATTGTTACTAAACATGGTGGGCCCACAAATAGAACATTTCTCTGTATTTTCAGGTACAAGTAATCCATTGAAGCCATACGTTAACTTTCAATATGTCAAGAAATTAGTATGGCTGTCATGTTAGGGCAAACTCGATCACTAACTGCATCCAATGCAAACAAAAGATAATTTGCTTGAGTGACTTAACGTTTCCATACTATAATGGTTCTATTGTGGGTGAAATTAACCGTAAATCATACAGCCTTGCTTAAATATAGTTGTTTGTCTTCACCATTAACATTTTCTGAAACTTCATTTGGTTTCCTAGTTATGTTTTGTCTCTGGTCAACGTAAAATAGGAATGAGCTTCATAGAAAAGTCGACACAATGTATGGATAACAACTTCTTCAAGTCTTTGAGAGATATTTAGAAGTGGTACAAATAAGGAAGAGAATTTATTCACTTGATACGTTGAACACTTGAAACGTTGTTCGTCATAATAAAGAAGTTGACGTCCATAGATTCTCTTCCCTAACATCTTCTTGCTTGACAACGGTATAAGGATCTATACCAAAACGTCGCCTTTACAGTAAACAAAGAAGTCGATATCCATAAATAGAATAGCACCAAGAATAGTACAAAGTCTGTCCTTTAGCAGCGAAAAAGTCTTTTTTCATAATCATAAAAGATATTTACTTAATGCAGAATCCACGTGCGCTTCCGACTATATCACGTACGTGTGTTTCTGAATCACGATCAACTTGTGATGATAACAGGTGTTCGCTAAAAAACATCAAATATGAGAGCCACGGTAAACATTTGTTTTAACATATTGGACCGTTGCTTTTAATCGAACCCTGATTGTCGGAATGATGAGTCAGTGCTTTAATTGCTGGATTACCGCACCAATCGGGTTTCATTGAATATGTAATGCTGCATTTAATATTTGTATTTCAAAATGGATCAGCAATAATTGCCAATTAACTACTGTTTACATGCACCACTTGATTTATTTTAGCAGAAATATATTATATACATAAATCTTTATATATTTCTTTGTTTCCATTGCGCACCTTTTGTCTCTGGTGTAACGCAGAGTGCGATGACCCAGCCATCACAGACCTGCCTCAATACACCTTCTGCCTTCTCTTTGACTGGGATCAATCCCGGGACTGGATAAGCAGGAAGCTGTTCCTATCAAACAATCAGTGTTCCCTGATGAAATCAGGAAATTGTCAAGACATACAGGGCAATTCCTCTGTGAAAGGACAGGATGCTCTTATGTCAGTAGTTAGAAGTCAAGTTATGATTACTATAGATTAATAGACCGCCTCCGTGGTCTTGTGGTAGAGCGTCCACCCGGAGAGCGGAAGGTCCGGGGTTCGATCCCCGACCGCGTCATACAAAAAGACGTTAAATGATGGTACTTGTTGTTACCCTCTCTGGCCCTCGGCATTAAGGGGCTAAAAGGAGGACTGGTCGGCTCGGAGTCAGTATACTGTGTCTGAGTGGGGTATTCATGTTAAACTGCGGCATGGTATCTCAGTGAGCTAGCACTATAAATCGGCATCAGTCCGGACTAGTACAAGCAGCCACACACACATACACGTGCATGCACGTCGCTATATAAGTGCAATAATCTTGGACGCGACGTTGAACCCAGTTTCACCTCACCTCACCTATAGATTAATATGGTCATTATCGAAAACCTTTAATAAGCACTGCATGCGTTTGTTTGCACCTATCTACTGTTTGGTGAATGTAGATGTCAGTTGTTGCCAACGGCACAAGTCTTATTGACTGCTGTATTGCCTGAAGAAATGGCTTCCCTCAACAAGTATGTTATCAAAGAAGAGGTTATTCATTATGTCTTAGTCGTTATTGATCACATACAAGTAAATCCTTGTTATCTAGCTTAACTCTATTTAACTAAGGGTAGACCCTTTCCATGGTTTGTCTCTGGACAAATGTTCAGGCATGGTCATCGAACTTATTAAGTAAGAATATAAACAACAGTAAGAACGAGAAGAGACATAGTTGCACTGATGGCTGACAATCAATGTACAATATAATGGGAATTAACACTTGAGAATAGCATCTTACTAGTAATGGCAATTAAGTGATTATATACATGCGCATGACAAGGCTACAGGGCCTTATGAACTATATGTTCTTTCAGACAATGGTTGTCCCGAATTGGAAAATATGAATATTGATCAACATTAAGGGAAAGTTGACTATCGGAACGTCAACGCCAGAGAATAATCAGTATCCATTTTCTGTCGAAACATTCCACAAAGCGCAAAAGGCATTGCAGACAGTGACCTCCCTGGACTACTAATCCTTGGATACAATGCTTGCAGACAGTGTGTTCCCGGGACTATTAATGCCTTGCAGTGCCCTGCGGACAGTGAGCTCAGCGTTCTACTTATCAACTCAACTCAAATTATTCTCGAAAAGCATCTATGGTGGTACAAGGATAAAGTTGCAATTTTCTACAAAACAATTAAATAGAATAAACAACATTGCATGAATACATACAATTAAAGCCACTATCAAATAGTGATGATATCAGCTAGCCGGGAAGAGGTGAACGTGTCCTGCCTTACCGGTGGCACTCGTCAAAAACTGATAAAAGACATGTCAATTGTTCACCTAAAAGCACGGAACATACGGTAAACGTCAAAATAGGGAAAACATGTAGCATCAATCTCATTAAAATCAGACCTTAGTTCTCGCTACCGCTAAACAAAGATCTGAAGACATCCCATCAGGGGTCACGTCAGACCGACCTTTCATCCGCCCAATCAGTGCGTCGCTTACCAGATTATGAAAGTGACAGTCGGAATGTGATTTCTAATCATGCAATCTCGAAAACTTTAACATGGGATATTCCGAACGATAGTTATGGGTTTAACGACTGAATCCTTACAATCTAGACCATCTATTAGCCATTCCAGAACGGTTTTTTTTATCAGGTTTCAAATTTGTAATCGAGAATTTGTCAAAATATGTCTCGAAGCGTAGTCGCCAATTTGATTGGTCATTCCCTTGGTCGGTCAAAGTTCGCGCAAGGTCGGTCTGACGTGACCCGTAATGTTATGTCCTCAGATCTTTGTTTAGCGGTAGCGAGAACTAAGATCTGATTTTAATGAGATTGATGTAGCATCGGACACCACTGTCGCCACTGATGTGTCAAATGTGGTAGGTAACGTCCTCCACATGTCTACAATATAACATGCAACACCAAAGGCTGAAGCTGCAGGAACATTTCTCGAAAGTGTCCAAAGTGGATCCGTTCAAAGAAGTATATCATATTGCCAATCAATCATGAAACCGGAAACAATGTCAGCGTTGGGGTCGCTTTGTTGACTTACTTGGTCCTGATGTTATTGCTGCAAATAAATGTGACTTGAGCTAGCGCCGACAATGAAATAGTACAATACAATCAATAACTAAATATAAATTGCATTTTAGCAAGAAGGTCGATGTGCGTAATCAAAAACTGCGTCATTAACTGGAAAGAACTCTTTATTTCCATAAGGGTAATGGAACCAGATCATTCGCTGAGAACTGTGACATGTTTTGTCATACAGCTGTGTTGAAGACTATCAATTTTCAATCCAACAATGATCAGTGATTGAAGTCACATTTCAAGTAGAAAAGTAATAGGGAACACCTCTCCGTGGTGTGGAGGGAGCTGGTGCTCGGCCGTTTCATCCACTGACCGTGTCATGCCAAAAAGCAGTTAAATGAAGGTACCAACAAAACATAATGCTCTTGTTAAAATGCGGCATGGTATCTCTGTGGGTCAGCGCTATAAAACCGCCATTGATCCAGACTAGTACTAGCAGCCACAGACACATGTGTATGCACGTCGCTATATGACTGAAATAATTTTGAACGCCACGCTGAACCCCATTCACCTGAAACTAAAGCGATACAGCTGGCCTGGTGGTATAAGGCTATGTGTTGATGGAGTTGCGTCCCTTTCGTTAGTTTTCTTTGTTGTTTAACGCTACACTCCACAATATTCGAGCATTATGACAGAGATTTGTAAATAATTGAATCTGGACCATACAATCCAGTGAGTGACATCATCAACATCTGTCTACGCAGTTTGGATTCACTCATATGCATCAACGAATCCTAACCCATTAGTCGCCTCTGAGGTCAAGCATTGGTCGTTGAAGGTCAATTCTAACCCGGATCTTTACGTGGTTCTGATTCACAGATTGACATGCTTGTGATCTTTGGTTTGTTAGTACTTGCCAACGTGACCCGTCCTCGATGGTTTAATGTAAGTGGTAAGATTTTACACCCTGTGTCATTTCGATCTACCTCCTCCCCCCATATATTCAGCTCAATGCGACTACTACTACTACTACTACTACTACTACTACTACTGCTACTACTGCTAATAATAATAATGACAAAAACAATAGTAAGAGTCCATAATAACAAGAGTCCATTTGTATGGCGCCAAACTCCATACCAG